CCCCCCCCCCGCACTAATAAATCGAGGTGCAAAATGGAAACATATGGGGGCTAATATAAGCAACATTATCTGCTCCAAACGCGTGTATTTGGAAGGGGAGGCCAGCTACCGGCTGTCTGCAAATCTGGCAAATTGTGATAAAGGGAGCCCGTCAATAAAGGGAGGGAACATTGGCTGGTTGTCTAACTCTGCCTGTAATCGTCCAAAGCCCGACGTCTTCCACAAATGGGGGGATGATATGAGAAGAATAAACACGTGGACTATAAGCTCGCAATTAAAAAAGAAAGACTGAAAAAGAAAAAGGAAAAGGAAAACACTTAAAGATTAAAAAAATGGTTTGGGGGAACTATTAAACACGTGGAACAGCGAAGAATGGATCCACTCGTAGTAGGTTTTTAATTTTTCTTTATTCTTGGTTCTAAAGTAAACCTTCTGGAAGTAGAAGACAAGAACGAAACATCTTTGTGGAACAGCTTGTGAATTTAAAGTGCAAAGGTAAGTAAATTACATAAATATAGGCCCACTTGTTAGATTTACTTCAATTTTAGGAACAACTTTGTTTTCTTTAGTTTAGCTATTTTTCTTGCGTGATCAGTGATGTCACGTTGGCTTATCCTGCCTGTCATTTGAGTAACTTGAAGGCTTTGTAGTTTGCCTCCATGCTTGTAGTTTGCTTTCATACTCCACACGTGCTGACTACTAACACTTAGTTCCCTGCTGCAGAATTTGAAAAATGTTTCATGTGACAGCGCTGAGGTGGAGGGAATACAAGCGGACTGTGGAGCAAACTGCTGGAAATGCTCTGGCAGAGAGATCAGGAGCAGAGACTCCAGCGTGAATGTTCCTATCACAGGCTGAGAGGGCACCAGATGGCAAACCAATGAGGGGTGAACTAACCTACTAAATGATACCACATTAAATGCAGCATTTAAAATCCCATCTGGGTTGCCGTCCCTGCGGACATGGAGTGTGAAACATGACACATATTTATACACCTGCTGATGGAGCACACAGGCATGTCCAATAGGCTGGTGACATGCACTCTCAGCCAGCTGACCTCCTAACCCCTCAGTTTTGGTTTGATTCAGCTCACTGCCCTTTTCACCAGCCCTTTTCATCAGACTCTTAATTTCAGCCAGAAGCCTGTATTTGGCTCCAAGTGAATGCTGTGTGTGCTCCATTAGTTTGGAATTACTTGTCCTTTCTTGTAATGGCTTTTAGAGTACGTGAGTGAGATTGAGGCTTGGGTTGCCCCTCTTTACAGGCCCACTGGCTGTAAAATCATTTAAATGTTAGCGAGGTGTTTGCAGAAGGATGCAGCCAATGTGCAATTCACTTAACACTGTTTGCTTATTGTCATTTTTCAACCCTAATGTATAGATGTTTTTTAAATTGACACCTTAGATATGTGCCTAATGCATTTCAAATAATGTATAATTACTACATACTTTGGAAAATTAAAAATAAAATATGGCCAATTCTTCAGTTCTATTAATATAATAAACAATGGAAATTTTTAAAAAATAAGAAAAATATTAAATCAACAATAAAAAAAGAGCACTTAAATGTTTTGTTTAGGGTTTTAAATATAAGGGGTTTTTTTTCAAATGGGTAAAAGCATTAAAATTTAATGTAAACCCTTTTTTTAATGTCTGAAACAGTGCTTAAATACTCTCCCGAGGATGAGGGCAGGTCACTCCATTTTCTATGTTGGTGTCAATACTGTTTTATTAACCTACCTTGAAGTGATTGTTTTAACTGCCAGGTAATCTCTATGCAATTCTCTGTTTTCAAATGCATCTTCATGGACTCATTTTTCAACACCCCTCTGCAATTTGAGGCCACAAAATGAACTGATTAGCATGATGATTAGTCATTAGTATGCTAATCATAAGCAATTCACATATTTTATTCATATTGTCGCAGAGTTGTTTTTCTCCTTCTGCTGGAATTGTGTACACTTCCCATTCTATGTTTATTGTAAACATGCAAGTCAGTGTGGTAACTTGCTGAGAATGTACAGTGGAAACGATGGTTTTAATTGTAGTGTTTTTAGTTTAGTGGGGGGTTTTTTAAGCTGCAGTGTCTAATAAGGACGGATGAATTCATTCATTGGATTGAGGAAATAAAAACAGGGCATCTGTGACGTGGATTGCTCCTTGTGTTCAGCATCAAGAAAATGTTTTTAAACGACCACATATATGTTGCAGAAGAAGAAGAAAAGAACGTTTCAGTCCAATTTTAAAAACACCGAACATGCAATTCAAATCAACATAAAATATTTATAAATCCTTTGTTTTAACACCAAGTCTGTCTCCTACAGGATATTTAAAATATAAGTCTGTCTTATTAGGTAATCCCTGTAAGAGTTGTGCTGTCAGAAGCCTGGATGTGCAGCCTCTTCTCACCTGCTGTCTCCCTTTTCAACAGCCTGTAACCATGATTGCTGCTGTACATTTTCTTTGGACTTGTGTAGTATAATATCGATGCAGTACCACTTGTGTCTTGATCATAGAGGGACTAGCCTGCATGTATTCCACTAGGGAAGTAATGCATAACTGAATATATGCTCACTCAGTATTTCTGTGTAGAGCATAATATAATTTGATCTTCCCTTCCAGGAATGATTTATTAAATTTACCTTACACCTACAGACGCTGCACAGAGATGCTTGAGACTTCATGTACACAGTTTCTT